GAGTGATGTAATATCTTTTAACTTGGATAAATTCTTGGCTTCTTTTCATTTCGTGGAAATTCAGAAACGTGTTAAAGGTATGCTTCTTAAGTGATAGATTAATTTTTAAAAAATCTAATTATGATATTTTTATGTGTCAACTACTACCCAGTTTAGTGTATTTATACATAGCTTTCGATGTTTTTTTCGTAATTTATAATAAATCTTTATCTGCAGTCTCCCTTTCTTCTTTGCTTCGAACCATATCAATCTTTGTTCATTCCTAATAAGTAGCAAGTAATAACTTTTCTGCAATTATAACAAGTGACTAGACCAGTGTTTTGTTCAAGTTACAATAATAATCTAGTGTTCATAACGATGGAAATGATATAATATCTGTTCCAGATATTTAGTAGATTGCAGTACCGTTCAGTCAGATAAAGATATATAATTAGAGCTTTATTTGCAGATTCAAAACTCATGTTTCGTTTATTAGTTCACATTTAAATCATGAACATACTGCCGAAAGAAATAGTTATTCAGTTGCGCGTCATTCGGTTGAGATTTAAAACTATGGACGTATAACACTTTACCGGTATCACCCTGTGTATCGGAGATGTGCAAGCGATAGTTTAATTCGTGTATACTTTTTATTTGAAGCTGTAATGCTATGTAACTAGTTGTTTCTCGATACCCTTACCAGCATTAACGTTATTATTAATAAGTAGATCGTGTTCGAATGACATATTTACTCAGAAGATGCTTTTTCAAGACTTTTATTTAATTTTCAAAGGAAGATTATGTTGATTTTTGATTTTCGAGACCTAAAAACAGTAAAATATTTGTTTACTTGGTTCAGAGTTACAGGTATTTGGTACCACTTCAAATTATACTTACCGCTAGTTTTACCCGCTAACTAGTACATTCAATGTAGGGCCGTAGAATTCAGTGAACGTTAATCACTTTTCACAACTACACGGTTATCACCACTTAAGTAGCTAAATTAACAATGAATACCAATTAGATATTTATTTTAGTGGTTACATTATTGCAAAGCTTTTATTCCAGTACAATATTAAGAATAAATAACTGATAACTATTCGTTATATTTATCATTCGATATACACAACACAAAGCATATTTATTGAAAGGAATTTGTCGGCAATTTATTTCATTGTTATATTGTGTTGATTTTTTTTGTAAATTAGCTATAGACTGTAATATCTGAGTTCGTATTTTCTTTAAACAACACTTTGTGAACAAAACGATGGTGTATTTCGTTCATCTTATTCTGTAGATACTTTAAAACGGAATGAGCACAATAAATTGCAAGGCTTATCTTCTCATCAGTTGTAAACGGCCTAAATTTTAGTTACAAATAAACTTTTAACATGCTTTAGTTAATAATATGTGAGTGGAAATTAAAGCATGAGAAACGTTATTTCATTGATATCTGTAAAAATTGTTATCATATAAGAAGGGGAGTTATAATTAGTAATGTTGGTAATTGTAATATTTTGGGGTAAATAATTATCTTTTTGATATTGTACCAGTCGGTCATGCGCAACGTAGATCCTGGCACACGTACGTCGATTCAGGTTGTCACACTATATCAGCATAGGTCGATCCCAAGTTACTGGAAACATCGACAGTATTAGTGATAGTAGAAAAGATTAGGCGATTCGAGAAAAAATGGATTCTTGAAATAGAAATGTATAAGATATTCTTAAAACTGCTCACTGTAGTCGTACAGATCCGAACCAGCTAGTCTCCAATTACCTACACATCTCAGTTCAGTAGTCAATGACTTCATGGTCTAATGTCACTTTTTGGTTTAGCCACTCCTATATACCTTCCAACTTACCCTTACACCAACAAACATTGCTTGTCGAGTTTGGTGGTGGTTAGGTATATGTAATACATGTCCCAACGATCTAAGCTTATAAAGACTAACCACCTTACCATCCTATTTGAGATGTTTTCTCAGTACCTTATGCTTAATCTCAACGTTGCTGACCGGATGGTCCCACAGTGCTCTAATGATGTTTGAAAGCACCTGTGATTAGGTACTAGTAACGAACGAATATCCTCTGTTTTTAAAGTGCACATTTGATATCCATAAGGTAGAACAGCAAATTATAAAGCAGTATACTCTTTCTTTGGTTGGGAGACTAAAATCTTACGTACACTACAAGTGTCGTGTGTTCACGATAGTCAATTGAGTTTTCTGTATTCCTATGAAGATTTTATTAGACACCAAATCTGGTTAGACTTCCAACATAGGTGAAGTAATTGACCGTGTCAACCACTTTATTATCTTTCATTAGTCTAATAATTGATACACACCTAACCCGAAGCTCGTTATATAACTAAACTAATTATATCGACATATAACTAATACTTCTTTTTTTCGTTTTTTTCCCTAGTTTAACTAACAAAACTGAATCTTCCCTGGTTGAGGAGTTTCATATATATATACATCATTGAGCAATAGCCAGAATAATTATTCCCATTGGGACCGTTTTTATTCCATGTTACCTATTTATCCATTTTATAAGATTTGTATTTATTTGTTTGTAGCTTGTCTACTCTTATTTTGTCAATAAAATAATTCGAAAGACCATTTAGAATGGACATTTGTTTTAAGGAAAACCCTGAAAAACTTACTCCTTTACATTAATTTCTCTTAAAAATATGTTGCGAATCTATGTTAGATTTTTTATAAGATCTAGACATTATGTTTATAGTTATCTAATTGTTATGAATTCAATATTTGGGGACCATGAATTATATTACATGTTATCCATATTCGTTTATTTCTTATTCTTCTCCAGATTTTGGAAATATTAATAATTTAAAAATAACCATTGAACAGTAAAATGTTATTCTCTGTCTTTTGGTCTTCGTATTTTAAATGTTAGTTTTTATTTGTAAATCGGTCATTTTAAATAGAAGTACATTTGAATAATTTGTTATTATATCTTGTGTATCTATTTGCAAGGATATAAGTATGATTCTACTTTTTTTCAGTTACAATCAGTACACAATGAATTGTATCATCACACTGAACTGATACAAGTTAAACAGTAAATATGAATTTTAGCAGAAACTTTCTTAGAAAGTAGACATTACAGTTTATCGACAGCACCTGATCTTAATGAAGCAGGTGTTTGAAAATTGACTTAAAATTCATTTTTAGATTTAAGATCTTTACTTAATTTATCAAGAAATATATATATATATATATATATATATATATATATAACATTGCTAGCAAATGGTTACAGAATTCCATCCATTAAGCTTGTTGGTTATCACAATTTAGTGTGAACATACCTCGACTTCAGAATATTTGGTGTGGTTAGTGCTCTATTCTTTGTTTTATCTTCATAGAAGAACCTTGTAACCAGTTCATATGTTCGAGTCATCGAGGCTGACATGATAATTTCTAAAAGATTGAAAAATTGGTTGGCGTCACATAAATGATACGGCTCAAAGCTAAGCGCATAAATCTGTACTTGGTAAACGAGTTGCATATTTATTTCATTTATAAAAGCCAGAGAAGTAACAAGTTCCGTTTTGAAAACGTAATTGGTGCCTAGTAACATTATTGGTTAAAAGAAGAATTAAAACTTTAGCGAGGATGGTACTCTTGGTCTACATAAACTGTATGTTGTACAAAGGTGGCCAGTTTTTCGTGCTGAAAGACCAGTTTCTCAAATCGGATCGATAAACTGAAGTAAGACTTTTCTGCAGATATTTCATAAAGGGTGGTCGTTTACTTAAGAGCAACGTATTTAACATTTGACTTTACTCTCAAATTCATCTTAATACCTCCTGCATATTATTTGTCTTCTTATATTTTCACCCAACAAGTTTCCTATGTCCTTGATATTTCTTCCTATGTAGCAGACACTATTCATTTAGGTTTAGAGAATAACACTCCAAAATTAACATCATGAGCCTCTCATTTTGACACAGTGTAGACAATACTTCGCACTTAACAAAACTGTAGGATTCTAGATCGTTCTGTTGTAAGCAGCCGTAGCTGCTACCTTGACGTGGTGGTCGGGATTGCCTACGTAATGTCCCAATCGGGCTATATTGGCTCAAACATGTTCTTATAAGTCTTGCCATGCCAGGCAGGTTTATTGGAGAACTGTAAAACTAAGGTCTTCTGAAGAACGGAGGTAACACATTAAAAACCTCCCACGGAAAGGCCGTGCGTGACCAGCCTCAATCAGTTGTCCCTTGGACTCTGGGATCACACTCCCTGGTCGTTAAAACCACTATTAATCCAACCTCCTTTTCAGGTTCCTCAATAAATACCCTTCTACGCTGTGGGAAGCCGGGAAGTGACATCGGCCCTCATACCCGTAACAGCGCACGAGACCAAGTTGGTCACTATCAAATTCTTCCTATACTTCTTAATAACTCCTATCTCCACTACTAACCCTTCTCACATTCATCACCTCGTTCATCTAATGCAAACAATTCGGAAACGTGGAACCTTATTCCTGGTCTCCTGAAACCACTACATATATAGGAGCTTAGTGTCACACAATGATTGCTATTTTCCTATCAAGTGAGAATCAAGCGACCTGTTATCGATTCAATTGACTTAACAGTATATTCGTGATATTGGTTTCAAGGGTGCAGAATGTGTCTGGTAGGTATGAATTTTCACTCAATATTGTACTTGACAGCTATAAATGAAGACGTTCTGTGTACCAGAATATTAACGATGAATATATGTGTCAATATCTGATCCCAGGATTTCCATGCTTATACAAATGATATCAGTTAGAAAATAAAACTAAATTTTCCTCCGGTACTTATTCAACGATCATATAACTCTCATCAGTCAAATGATTTAGAATTTTTATTTGGGCTACTCATAAGTAGTATTTTTTAAAGTGTTGATAATTCTGAAAATCAGTACTTTCTCATTAAGTTGGATACTTTCATGTTGTTGATAATATCAATCAATCACAAGGAAGTGTTTAGACAAAGACCAACTTCAGAACTTAACCTTTCACTATGTATTTTTTTACTCATAAATAGCTGAATGTTTACATGTTTGTATATTGGACAGATCAAAATGAATATGTATTTGTATATTAAAATACAACAGATGAGTTTGTATTATGATCATTCATGGTGTTCATTTTATGCTTTGTTTTATCATATAAAGATTATGAATAATGAATTGTGATTAACTGATTGATTTGGTGAATGAGTGACTATAAATAGAATATACACATGTTATAGTTAGTATATTAAGAAAATAAACATTTACAACAAAAACGGAGAACAAGAAAAAATGTATTGAGAAAAACAGTAAATTATGTATATTCATTTGTTTATTTTGGTCTTTTTCAGTTTTCTGTACTACTCACACTAAACTCATTAAAAAAGTTTATTTCTGATTATTCATGATGGTCTTCTAATTTCTTTCATGGAGTAAAATACCAACAACTTGATGAGTTTTTTTTATTTGTTTTCAACATGTCGCAATTGATTGTAATCTCTCTTGTTGGGTCTAGGCATTTTGATAGTATCATGATGATTGTGATTGCTATTTTGTCACTGTTAGCAATGGATCCAATTTCAATACAGACATTTTTGTAATACAAGAATGGGGGAAAAGCATTTTCGGAATAGATGTGAAGAGAATCATAGAGGTAGGAAATTTAGTGTACGAAGGTGAAAACAAACACATAAAATGATTTTAAACCGTAAAATGATCCATTTATATGTGCATATTCATAGTTATTAATTACATGTGGATATGACCACTGTTTTACGGCATGTCTTACAGACAACTTTACAGCACCATTGAAATTTACAATCACATCTTTCCTGTTGAACAAATGTTTGCCGTTTAAATCCTCGACCACAGCATAAATAATGACAACTATTTAAACCTTGGGAATTTTCGTCACATTGACGTCCATATGTACCGATACTGCCGTACCGCGGGTCATGATGACAAAATGTTGGTGATTCACTTATATAAATTAAATCATTTTCTGTTGGTGATGGTAAAGATGATGGAGATAGTGATGTTGAACTACTTAACGAATCTAAGGTATTTCGATTAACTCGTGATGATATTGCTGCTCCAGAAGATGATGATGCTCCAGATACTGACGATGATAATAAAGCGGGGTGCGAAAGTAAAAGCGCGTTTCCGTTTGATTCTTTATTTAATTTTTCTAAAGCTTTCATTGAAACCAAACGGTTTTGCATATAAGCGACCTGTATAGCTTCATGAAATCTTTCTTGTAGTTGTGCACCTAAATGTCGAAATTTCGGTAGCGATCTCCAGCATGTACGCATCTCACATGATCCACTTACACCATGACATTTACACTGAACTTCCATTTTATTGATAACCATCTAATGAAAAATTAATAAAAGAAAAATATTGTAAATGAAATTACACTTGGGAAAAATTAATGTTTATCGACTGAAGTAATGATGCTCTTTATCGCCTTTAACTGTTCTCATATTTTATTCTACATAGTTGTTTAAAATCACTAAGATCTATAGAATAACTGGATGATGAAGTGATTTTTCTACAACTGTGCAAAATAGGACTTTGAAAAGGAGAGAACCTGAGAGTTGGAAAACACATGAGAGAGGACAAAAACTGATGTCAGTTGAAGGCTTAATTCGCATCCAAATTATGACAACAATTTATTAACTGAATACACTCATATACTTACAAATTTTTCAGGGATTTGATCACTGGTCATCGAATACTGTACATAAGTGAAGTAATAGGAATATGACTTGATTTTACATTAGAATTATGCAACCGAATATTATACCAAGCAAATATTACAACGGAATTCATACAAGGAATGGTGAATGCTACACTGAGTGAATAGGACACCAAATCGATAAAAAAATTGTGATACTAAATGAATACCATATATAAATATTACATTGAATTAAAGATAAAATATTTTACTGAACGGAAACGTGAACTCGCTTTTAATCTTGTCATTATTATTATTATCAATGAAAAATTTGAAATAAGCCATTATTCATTAATATTGAATACTCTGCTTCTTTTCTCCCAGTTTTTACAGAATATTATCAGCTTAGTCTTCAAACTCCTACTGCGTTTCTGAAAAGTGTACAAGTTACAAAAGGCCCAATCAGAAATATCGTAGTTGTTGGCAATATTCAGAAAAAAGAATGTACATTATTTTGATGTCGATTTCCTAGACCGCTAACATTCAATTGACGATCACTCAATATTTATCGTCAGGATCGACCAAGAAGTAAGAAACGGAAACTTGTTGAAATACTTTGTGCTGAGAATTCTATATTGTACGAAAAATATAATACTGAATAAAGCTAATAAAATTTTTTTTTAATTCACGTTTACCAACCATTATCATTAACAGAAGGAGTTTGTGAAGATTTTAAAAATTTTACAAATTGAAATGATGAGTCAGTTGAAGCTAGACCACCATGGAGAACGTGGAAACAGTAGACGGCCGCTTCGTTCTAGTATGGGACTCCTCAGAAGTGCGCATCCACGATTAAGATTAAATATTTTGTTTGTTAATTATCATTATTGCCTATTATAATTGGCCTATTTGTCTTCAGATCTCTAATTACTTCATTAACTATTTACTATAATAATATGGAGTAGTTTGGGGAGTGTTTTTGAAACTTTGTTTATAGCCGAATTTCGATGAAAATAATTGACTTTTCTATCATCTTATTGCGTACATGATAGGTATGTAATCTGTGTTGTTAACTAAAAACGATAGTATTTCCTCCCCTACCATTTATCGATGAACTAAAAACAACTATCCATTAAGTTATTAATCAGTCCTGATGATAAGTGAAACATTACTTGTATCCAAATGGTTTACATAATCCCCATAAAAATTATTATGTGATATACCCTCCCCTCAAGAAAAATAGTATAAATACTCTATTTCATAAATTGTATCTATTTAACGTGAAGCTTCCTTTTTTTACCTACGTATTTTATACAATACATCGAAGTCAGAATGTCAGGCAATGAAATTTATTCCAAGTAAGCACCCATCCAATTATTAACAAGTCAGTTCAATAGCATTCATGTTGAAGATTTCCTAGGTGGTGTTTAATTCTCATATAATTTTATATGTTTGTCTGTGTGTAAGGCAGAATAGTGAGTGTTCAATTGTGTTATAAAGGAACAAGGCAAGATACATCCACATTTCATTAAACGAATTTGATTGTGAGAGGATAAATATTGGAAAAAGAATTTAACGAGAAAGAACACTTTTGACGCCTATTTTGGTAAAAATTCACAAACAAGTGTCAAAAAAACCTTGAATCTGGCGTAATTTTTTTACTACATTTGTAAAAAATATTTATTTCGCAACACAGATGATTACCAAAACAACCATATAATGTGTATGCAAATAGAATTTAGATGATGTGTATTGTGCGCACTTGGTTATATTAATGTATTGATATGATTAGTTAACCCCTAGATTAAAAATAATTTCCCACATTTATCATCATTTTCTAATGTAACCATCATGATGATCATCCCTTATCATCTATATCTATCTATCTATCTATCTATCTATCTATATATTCTACACTATCACTTAACTTTTAGACTTGGTATAGTCTTTGTCAGTTACCCATACATATTACCCTAACCCACCCCCGTACATTAGTTATAACACACATTGGGTTATTTATTATATATGTTCAATTTCAATGATCATTAATCAAATCACCTAGTTTACTCATTTTATTACCATTGATCTTCGTTGAAGATATTAAAAACAAACAAACAATTATGTTATCATACATAATATTACTATGATTATGATTATTATGAACATTAGAACCAATTTCTAGTAATAGTCAACTGACTGTATACACATCTAAGTAATATATATAATATATATATATATATATATATATATATATCGTTAGAAGTAACATGATTTATTTGATAGTTAATGATAGTGAAGTTACTTAGTTAGCAGACAATATAAGAAAATGGAAGAGAAAAGTTGATGAACATTTCATGAAAGTAAGAGAGAGAAATTAAATTTCTAAAAGAGTTCTTTTCCAAAGAATAAATTGTTTATAGGTTAAGAAAAATTAATACCAAGTCTATGAAGAAAGAAACAAAATAAAAGAAAGGAATGAAGCAAAAACAAAAATATATAGGAGTAGGTTAAGAGAGTAAAACAGTTACAGAGATAAAGAAACTGGTGTACAATAATCAGCTTGATACTTCTAATAGTTTCAAGGGGAATAGGATGTAACTAAGATTATGGTCAAGTGAAATAATGTTACCATCATTATTAATAATAACGTAAAAAATGTAACTATATTAGTAGTGGCATGAACATTATTACATGTAATAGTGGTGATAATAGTCCTGTACGCATAGACAGTTATCATGATAAGAAAATCAAACACTTCATGAAATGTCATAGCATATAGAAAAGGTGAACAAAATGTTCGAAATGTATTAGAATTAAAAGTAATCAACATGTTACTTTTTCCTCCTTATTTAATGCCAGTTATACGGTTTATACATTTTTCATCAACAGGGGAGTTTATAATTTAGTCGCGTAAGTATATAATAATAAATTAGAAAATTGGCAAGATGAAATGGGTAATCGTGTAGGCAAATTTGCTGAGAAAACAAGAGGGTGCTAAAAAGCACATAACAACTCTTTCATCACATCAGAAGACTTTTTAGAATTATGTACTCATAACTTCTCAAGGAATCAAGTTCAGAACCTGCTGATTAGTCTCAAAAACAATCTTCAGTTTTCCTTGGGGTTTAATGGTAATCCAAATAACGTCATTTTGTGATGAGAATTCAATAAAGTATCTATACGACTACCTAGGTTAATTTGGTATTTATGAAAGGCAGAAATTAAACTAACTAGATATGATTTATTATGAAACCATTTTAGCTACACAACTACCTAAGTTACAGATATTTTGATAATAATTTGCACATTAATTGGGTCTGGTTGACGGAATCCACATTCACACCATGATGATGGATGACATATAGAACTCGTATGATTTATTTGAGGAAATTAGCAAATGTAGATATGAGAAATAAATTACAAAAATCATCGTCTAGATCGTAATGTATTTTATACAAATCTGGACTTAAATGTGGAATAACAGTTGACACTCCAAAGATAAATGTCTTCGAATCTCCAGAAAGAAAACCTCTAGTAGAAACTTTATTAATATTATCCTCACACCATACAATTATTTAGAAACCCTTATGAAAAATTATTGCATTAAATTAAGTTCACATATTTCTTTGGGAATCGATGTATATTGTCGTTTCTTTTGTACATATTCTGACTGGTCAGAACCAGTGGGTTGAAAATACTATAATTGGATACTTAAACATTATTAGCAGTTGGAGCTGAAGAAAGGTATACTTCTTTCCTTTGTTTCCAAAAGGGATGTCTCTTGAATTTCATACACACTATGCCTCAGATATTTATTATTAGTAGTTGACTAATTGCCAGAACTGTGGTCTCTAATACATTGGAAGTATGAGGATTAATTGTCAAATATACAAACTTCAAATTGATTCTAGATATTCTGTTTATTGTTATACTCGAAATCACTAATACAAGTTTGATTTGAAGATGATTTTTATATACGTTTACTATTAAATTTTTCACTATGCAATTAGATTTGTGACTAACCTCTTTGAAATTTTAACAGAAAGAATGTTTATTTCAGTGGTTAAGATAATGAGTCAGTTGAAGATAGACCGCCATGGAAAACCCGAGAGCACTGGACGGCCATCTCGTCCCACCGTAGGACTACTCAGCAGTATGCACCCACGACCCCCCCCCCCCGAGATTCGAACCCAGGACCTACTGGCTTCGCGCGTGAGCACTTAACCACTAGACCACTGAGCCGGCATCCGACGGTGTTAATGTCTAATTATGAATTGAATGTTGACATAAACATGTTTCACTTACAGAGAGAGACAATAAATACCTTTCAAATTTTATTTGATATCCCTAAATAATAGTAATACAAATAATAATTCGTATATTAAATTTAGTCCACTTGTTTCTAATAAATTGGAATAAACACCAAAATAATGTACATTTCATAGGATAACTTTAATTATCCTGGTATGTAGATAGGTTTAATAATTCCTACTTGCCAACAGTGTGAATTACTATCATCAGAATCCCGGTATCTGACATTTATGTAGACAGTTAAGGAAAACCTACGTGAAAAAGTGTCTATATTGGTAGATATATAGTTCTTAATGTGGATATGTTTACCGTAGTTGCATTGAATTTGATAGTTTCTTGAGTCGTTTATTACTGAGATGAACTTATTAATCGTGCAACCTTAAAAAATCGATAAAATATCATGATTTTGAATACATTATCAAAGCTAAGTAAAGTAGATTATGGTTCTACATTGTTTAACTTAATGGCCAGAATACCTTGCTTATTCGATCGAATATGGTCGTTTATGTTGACTGGGAATGAAAACTGTTAATTGTCAGGTGAACACTAAATATTTTGAACCGTATATGACAATTATAAATATAAACTTACATGTCTTCCTACATAGTTATTATGTAAATTGGTTAGGCCTAATTTCGGATTACGCTTCAACCTGTTGCGTTCACGCACGTCGAGAAATTGTCTTGAAAATTCTGCTCCGAAATATATATTGTCTGAACAGCCGGACCATTCAAAATTCGGCTCTCTAGGATGATCATATATTGTCCTGTCACATCCACAATTATCATGTAAACCACTACTACATGCTTTAGTGACTGCATGTGACACACCAGCCGATGTGACAGCCAAAACATAAGCAGATTCCCTTGTACCTACGAAAAAAATCGAATAAAGATAATATATTTTTAAAAGGAATTCAACACGAATATAAGCGGATAAACATATAAAAGTGGGATAACGAATTACTAAAGATAATATCATGAATCAGTAATTCATAAGTCGAAATCTCGATCACTTGACTTTGTTTTGAATCACCGTGTAAAACTATTTGATTCCTCTAAGTGGCAAATAAACTATAGAACTCTAGTAAATATGAATAACATGTGAATTTCACAATTGATTGATCACTGGGTGGTGATCAATGTCATGCTTGTCTAGTCCTTATTAGTGCAGATCGAATGCTATCGATCATGTTGCAATGTGGCCACCAGTCTAGGTGACTCGACACTGCGGCCACTATGTATTAAGATTTTAGATGGTGGTTGGAGGTAGTCAACAGGAAACCGTGGACCCGGTGATCAATTAATTGTGATTACATCTCAGTCCTACAGGAGGTCAGTCACGGCTCGAATAGCTCAGTGGTAACGTCTCCGACTGTGAAGCTGGGTGACACGAGGTCGAATCCGCCAGGGAGCACCAGTTCCCTCAGGATTACAGGTGCACCTTGCTGACGAGTGCCAAGTAGCACGAAACCCGGGTCCAGGGTTTCCTGTTGACTACCTCCAACCACCATCTAAAAACATGTGAGTTTATTTATTCAGACTGTTATCTTGTAGAAAGAATCATACGATATTAATTTCGTTCAGTTGACTAAATGTTCCATTTCTGTTTTACTATGACTCTCATGGTCATCCGCTCAAGATAGTTAAGTTGCAATTCAGTAAAATTCCTAGAATTCCAAAATTCCCGGTGAACTGGTGTATTATTTTATTTGTTGTATTACATTCATTATTTCATATATTTGATAGAAAATAATCATATTCAGTTAAATTTCTAGAAAATATATAATTGTAAAACTCTTTTATGGTTAGTATTAATCTATAAACAAATATTTATTTTTTAATCGTTCAGTTAACTGAATGTAGTCAAAATATGTTGCTCAAATGGTGACAAAGCTCTTGCCAGTCTGTTTCATAATGTTTTCAATAGGTAGTTCGGAATTATAATTTAAACAATCATATGTTATTCGGTAAGAATAGATCATGTGTGATTGTAAATAAATTAACTTCAGTATAGTGATATTTAGGATTCTTATATATGCAATAAACTGACGTACTAAAATGTATGTATATTTAAAATTGCATTTTACCAGGCAATTTTATTGATGAAAAAATCCCTCACTTCCCTGTTATGGACATTTTTATGAATGTTTTTTATTGGCAAACGTGTTTGATATTCCGCTAATATATGATTCAGTAGTCTACTATCTATGTTTAGAACAAAAACACAGATTGACGCACTGTTCCATGTGTGTTAGATGATTGAATGAAATTGATGGAAAGCTCTGAATGTAGATTTTGGGCTAGTTGGTATTTCTTCTGAAGCCGTATCTGAAATTTTGAGGAAATTTATGCTACTTGTGAGATTCAGACCTACATCATCCAGTATCGTGGTCAGAACATGTACCGCTAGACCATTCGAGCCTCAACCGACCTTCTATAAGATTGTGACGCCGGGTAAAGAGCATCTAAACTCAACAGCGGGTATCACTTTTGTGAAAATTACAGATCTGTGTTTGGTAAAAAAAAGTTTTAAAAGGAACAAAACACAGTCTGTGGAACTTCCTGGTAATTTGTTTTCGTGACTTTGGATCATACCAGGTTCATATATACATACTGATATTTTCAATAAATGAACTGTGGTAGTCTTGGTGATAATCAAAGAATTATATAGATAACCAAGTGGTAATCTCTCATATTTCGGGAGAATAATACGAAATAAACTGGATCTACTTACGCCTTGTGAAATTTACTTTTGTCGCGCAGGTGAAAATTAGTGGTCAAAACAATTCTTTACTATCATCTGGACTAGAAAATTGTCGTATTTTCTCTTGTAATACTTTGACTATTTGATGGAAAATAGATTTTTACCATTTAAGTTTTATCTTTTTAATAGGCACATACTCATTATAGTGTATAATGTCTAGAAGTTTGGATGATTAGATACCTCAAATATTTTATAAAATTTTGGATTCATACATGTAAAGTTCATTTTTTTTACAAATACAGTCCATCCCACTGAATAATCGTCCACCCTAGTTGAAATTTATTATCGATGTAGTGTAAGCATTAGTGACTCACAACACAAATTCATTTAACTGTTCTGATATCAACCGACTCTCTCTCTCTCTCTCTCTGTGTTTTAACTGAACATATGGAAGTGATATCGGTTATTTCTACTTTACTACCAAATACCACATCGAATTACGTATCAGTCCACTAGTCATGTGTTAAATCTTGTGTAATTTAAATCACCTGGTTTGAAATATATCCAACTGGAAATGTCTGAATAAGATATTTGCCTTTCTTTTATACTACCAGATGTTTTAAACTGGTCGACATATTAGTGGACATAAGAGCTATTTTTGCCCAAAGGTAATAATAAGATAGGTAGGCAAATAATTATCTAGAATAATGTTGTAAATAATCTGGATAAGTTAATAAGATAAACCGGAATCCGTCATCAACCAATAGGTCACAGTTTTGGGTCTTATTCCATTTAAAGCTTCCACACAATATTTATAGAGTGGAATATTTTGTGTTACTTGGAATTGTTATCTTCAAACTACTAATTTACTATGCAGTTGGAATAATTTTTATTGTACAGCCTTATGTTTTGTGGTTATATTTTTCTGTCAAAGTCTAGAGATTTGTACAACACTGACTTTGATCACTGTAAAACTCATAACTTCTCCATGTTGAATAATGATCATCTTATTTTTAAATACATTTTTCATAATTAATCTAACAGATCCATTTACTTACTCACCAAGCAAGCTAAATTTGCACGTAAAGTAGTCCAGCAATTCTTATTTAAAAGTCTGTTCTTAATAATGTCAACCTAATGTTAAAGCTGTAGCAGATTAGCTCAACGCCTAACGCATTTAATGGAATTCCTTATGCATAAGGCGGTATTGATTTATTCTAAGATTTTTCAACAATCGCTAATAGAAAATCTATTCACCTTTAGTGTAGAAAGCTATGTGGTTAGGTGTTATCTAAAAATGAATAGCTCAGTACTGATGTCATGGTTAATTGAAGCATTAGTTATTGCAATGTTTTACTTAGTGGCCAATATAAAGCGTTTTCAGCTATGTCACAACGACAATTTAAAATATTTGTTATTGACTTGAACAAAGACATGGAGTTTGTTTAATAAAATTCTATCAGACTAGTGACTTGAAAATATCACACCTTTTACTACCAAATAGTTCATTAGTGCAAGGATTCCAGTATTATAGAAAATCAGTCGTTATCTGAATAGCTTACCATTATTGTCACTGAATAGGACACTATGACAAAGGCTAAAATCCTACAGGTAACTTCAGTTCTTCCATGTTTGCAAATGTATCTTGGTGACGAGTGGCAACTATAATGAAGCTTAGTCTTAGTGATTGCATTTCAAGACACTGAAGAAACTGGTGATGTACAATTAATGCTGTCATATAAAAGCGTTGCTAAAATAAGTAAATTATTTTTTTTATGTTTGTGAGATATTTTATTAAATTAAAAATTTCCTCTAAACTAGAAATCTTATTTCAATAGTTTGATGTCAACTAACTTTTGCTGATGGTAACAAGTTTTTCAAATGAAACGAAAGTCATTTAAAAAGAGTGATGGTTTTATGGTCAATGGATAACTATCTAAATTCAGATAGTATATTCGAAAGTCGTTCTATCTACTATGGTTTCAATGGCCAAAGAGTATCAATAACCATCATATAGAGCATATAACTCGTAGCTGATTAAATGAACCCGAACTTGGTCAACGAGTAACAACCAAGTATTTTAATTCGACTTGTTCATTCAAAATCATTAAGATTGTAGCACTGCTCTGATGGGAAATACATTTATTCCCCTATATTTTTCCATTCTATTTATGAATATTCAATGAATGCCAGTTGGTTGAAGGGAATTTATGGAGTCATTGATTTTTAAGATAACCTTATTGTTAATTATTTGTCTTATAAGAATACTTATATTGAGTAAATATCTGTGTGTTTGATAACCTTACTGTAAATTACTTGAAAAATTTGTAAATACTCAACAAAATTAACAGTGTTAACACTCTTCGTCGATGGATAATTTTCCAGTTATTCAAATACACCATAACAGCCCACAAAATAAAACAACTATTAGTTAGTATGCCATGAACAGTTCGATAACATATACATCCATTTTATAAGTAAATAGACGGTATTCATATGGATTATTAAGTCTTCCTGTCTAGACTATTTTTTAAGTTCTAATTCATATCTCTGTATATTCTGTCAGATAAGGCGGATTAGTGTTAATTTGTTGTTCAGTAAAATAACTGGGCATTAAATGGACCCCAGTTTCCATAATGATTCATTGTTTTAATTCAATAATGTTTTTGTAATAAAACTGAAGAATTATAGGGATTACTCAGTGATATAAAGATAATATGCTCCGTGCGAAACCTGAAGTTTCTAAGTATTATGTCTGAAGTAAACATGGTTGTGCACTCCTGAGAAATTCCTTATCATGAAGAAACACTTGTTTCTCTAACAGTCATTTTTTGCAAATGTCAAAGCCTCTATCCCATCAATGGCTGATAAGTAAATATAGTTTCCCCTTATCATCAATATTATTTAAAATGCTCGAGGTATACAAAACGATCTTTCTAAATCAATTAGTAAAGAGTACGAACAGGATTCAAGCTTTTAAGGTACAACCAGAGAGCATAAAGCAGTTTTATAATTGTACATCCAATACTAGGATTCTCCAGTAATCTACTACCTACATTTAAAATCTATATTCCTAACAGTGATAAATTTACGATAAGACAATATCATCGTCCCAATCTATTTTCATCCTGAGTTGATTTGTATGTACTTCTAAAGAGGCTAGAAG